CGGGCCCTCCCCTCGTGGGTTCATTGAGGAGACCCTGGAGCCCCCACGCGGCGGCCCGTACGACGCGCAACACCACCTCTGTGGGGTTCACCCCGACCACCGCCCGGACCTCCAGCTCGAGCGGGGGGCCGTGAAGGTGACGGTCGTGTTTTACGGCGCGGAGGCCCGTCGACGACGGGCGTTGGAGGCGCAACACACGGAACGCTCCCGAGAAACCTGGCGGCTCCGCGAGGAGCTCGCCCGGGTCGAGGAGGACGCGTATCACCAGCGTGGGGTGTTGGATGAGCTTGAGGCGAACTACCTCGCCCAGAAGCAGCGGCACGCCGCGAACCTGATGGATGCCCAGAATAAGGTGAAGAATTCCCGGCAGTGCCTGCTCGCGCTCCGACAGGAATACGAGGAATGGGATGCGATACGGCAAGAACTGAGTTCGTTGGTCGCACCCTAGTTGGCATCTATCTTCAGCAGGATCGGATCAATGCCTCTGGAAACATTGAAGTCGCTAAGGGGATGGGATTCTTAGGGTGGACTCCTATAATGATTGAGATTCACGCATTTCGACTATTCTATACGTACTTCTCCACGGAAAGTATTATTAACAACTGTACTTCAACTCATTCCTCGCTGACGTTCATTGCTTTTTGTATCACTTGGTGGGGGTATCCGTCATAGAGTATAATACGAATCCTGAGCTAAAGTTCTTGTTTCTCATTTAAAACTGTGCTGAATGATACTCAAACAGCAAACAGATTTGTAGAATTTAATTTTCTTATGTATCTTTTTATTGATCTTGTTGGGGAGGGGAGTGTGGTGTACAGTCGTGCCTTATAGTCGCATGCCAACCCTCTCTTTCACAGCCACCATCGTGTGTTTTTTTGCACGAACACTTTATCACTTCCGCTGCCTGGAAGAGAACTCCTTCCCTGAAGAGTTTCTTCTTTGCTGTTTTTATCTGGAATGATCCAGGGGCCTAATAAATGCATTTTATACTATTATGAGTATATATGCATGCATATATATATATATATATATAGATGTGTGTGTATGTATAGTAAAATGAAATAAAAATTCATTTTTGTCATCCTTTGAGCTGTGTGAGAGTGAAAAAGGACGAAGTTAGACCCTCATATGGAGGAAGGTTCTTCAATGTCGTGATGGTTGTGGGGTTTATTTGTCAATGAACCTCTCGTGAACTCCCTTTTTAATGCAGAAAGGGGGATTTTATAATAATAATGACATTAAGGACAGGAGGAAGTAGTTCTTGTTGATAAAATAACGAAAGATAAAGCTTCATTGTATAAAACACAACAAAGATGAGTGTTTGCGTTTATTATTTTTTTTCATCTTACACTGGTATTCACTCTTATTGCGCTATGAACTAACAAATATAACAAGTCCGATATTTTCAAAAAGATTCAATAAAACACATGCGATTGAACTTCATATCTATACATAGATATATATGCATTTTTTAGAATGACATTCTTTTTTCTCTATTGAATTCTGTTAGCAAAAGGCTTTAATGCCTGTCTTATATTACCAAAAATAGTATATCTTTATTGTCTAAACATATTATTAATAACATATATAAGGAAGAGAGAGAAAAAAATAAACAACTGATTGCCGATGTCAAATATGATTGAGACGCATCATCACAGTTCATTCTACGGTAAAAAAATTGACCCTACAGCTTTTCATCAACTGAGTGAATATTCATCCCCCGCACGCAATTCACATGATGACAAACTCGAAAATAAAGGAAATGCCATTGGCGCTGGTCGGACAGTCATGAACAAAAGGCCACACGCGTCTCGGGAGGAAGGCAACCCTCGAAAAGAGAGGTCCCACCTATCTCATGCCCCGGAAGACGCTCAGAAGGCTACACGGCCAGCAGATCACGATGAAAAGGTGGCATCGCCAACCGGTTATCAACCCTGCAACTATACTCAGTGGGATGTTGACCTGCCGCCGATAAATATGTCTTCTTCTGCTTATAAAGAAGCCCTGCATATGGTTCAAAAACATTTTACAGCTTGGCAACATGAAGTTGCACTCTCTGGTGAGATTCTTCTCGACAAGATCAATACCAGAGAGCAACGTCACGCGTTAATTGAGGTCGCCAAGAGTTTTGGGTACAATCCTTCTAATCCAAGGGCCACAACATGTAGTTTTGTTTACGTTAAATATACAAACCGGGTGTTTATGCGCGCCACAGGGGAAAAGATCCCGTATATCGCTTACGAAATTGCGCGTGACCTGCAGCGTCTCGAACAGCAGCACCAAGCATATATGGACTGGAGGCATCAACAGCAAGAAATGTTAGGGAATGCAGGAAATAAACCTCAAGTTGGGGATCTAATGCGTGCACCGGAAGGCGAAGGAGTTGGTGAGGGTGCTAATATGGGGTGTGCGGTCAAATCCAATGGGGGAAAAATGGAGCAGCAGCAGCGACTGGTGTCCGCAGAAAGCTGCCCCAACTACCAGCAGCCTCTATCGGCATCTCAGATACCTCAACCGTGCGTATTGCGATGGTGGTTTGTGGATCGATACGCCCACCGGGATGTGATGGAGATCCTGCGGTTGTTGGCCTGCGAAATTGGCGTCTTTCGCGGCGAGCCGTCGCGATCGTTCGATCAACTCCAACGATGCAACGCCGAGGCGGCGAAGAATCTGGAGAATCCGATGATCTTCCGCGTCGAGGTCGCGCTGGAGTACCGGCCAAGCTGGGCAGGGGAGTTGGAGGCGCTGTTGAAGGAGCAGCCCGGGTCCGTGCGGGATCCCTACCCCATCTCCTACATCCGTCGTGATAACTTCGTGATGCGGCAATACCAACGCTACCTGCGGCCCTTCTTCTACGACTGGCGGCCGGTCGTCACGCGTTGTTTTGTGGATCTCTTCCAAGGGCGAGATTTCCGCGCCGGATCGACCCCTTCCAACGTCGTTTCCATGGGGACCGCCTTCTTCCTGCGGCATGAGATGGATCCCAAAGGGCAGGTGTTCTACCGCCGATGGGTGCGGCGCTCGCTGGAGCTGTTCGGGGCCTTCAGTCCGGAGCTGCGGCGGCAGGATACCGAGAACGTCCGGGAGACCCTCCGTCGGCTTTATCACGCGTCCTCGCCTGCTTCTGAAGAGGGCGGCCACCACGCGGAGGGTGGGATCGATCGGGAAGGGATGTTGGAGCTTCTGAAACAAGCCAAAAACGCGACGCCGCACTTCGGAACGCTCAACCTGTGCAATGAGTTTCACTACTTCAAAAAAGACCTCCCCGAGTTGCAAAAGTTCTCCGCCCGGTATGGTTATTTCCTTTACGTTCGTCATGATGATAAGATGGTGTACGTGGCGGCGACCGCGCGCGACTTGCCGGTGTTGCCGCCGCAGCGATTTCAGCTTTTTTTTCTCCCCAACGGCGCCTACGTCGGGCCGCCCACCTTCCACACCTACGTCGACCTTCGGATGGGGGAGGCCGAGGCGCCTTTCCCGCCCTCCCTCACGTCGTTAATTGAAGGGGGCTTTGCTTCGGAAGGGAGGCGGCGACGCGCGCGCGAGCTGGTGCGTCGTGGGGGTTCCTTTTCGAGCCGCTCCGCGTCTTCCGAACGGGAAGGGGAGCGGCATCGCTCACGGCGGCAGGGAGGGGGAGGTCGTGGACGCGCTCCTTCCTTGGCGAGCTCCCCTTCCCTCTCGCGATCGCCTTCGGCGTCGTTTGGGGGGTCGCGGAGGGGGCGATCGCGCTCCCCGGTGGGGGTGCCGTTGCCCCCGCCAACGCGGCATCGCGGGCGATCCGCCTCGCCGAAGGATCGGGAAAAAATAAAAGAAATCGCCCCCCTCTCGCTTCAGCCGCGGCAACGACGCTACGCCGTTCCTTCCTCACTGCCCGCGAGTTCCCTCTACGACGTGATGGTGGGCGCGAATCAACGCCTCAGCCACAACCCCGGCTGCACGGTGGAATCCCACCTGGTGGAGTGGGAGGATACCGGGAGTGCGGCGCCCCCACCGCGGGTGCTTCATTTCGCGCTCAACCATCTCACGCGGGAGGCGCACATTATCGGGGGATGAAAGGCGCGCAACGGGCGTCGGGTGAGGAGGAAAAGACGGGCATAACGGAAGGGAGGGGAATGTGAGAGACGAAAAAGTTGGGAGTGGGGTGAATAAGGCGCATGCCGAGATATGAGAAAGGGGAGGAGGGGGTGGGGGGGGGGGGGAGAGGTAGCCTTCTTTGTACCCAGGTTCTTGTAAAATATGCGTGCGCGAGGGATTGCGTGTGGTTGGGTTGGGCATGTATGGTTCGATTTGTTCACTCCAACAAGACGACTACCCATAAAGAATTAGATAACCTTGTGTTTGGGGATGGTACATACATAATTAATAGTAAAATATTAAAATAGTTGCGTAAGTGCTTTAGGTTATGCCCTTGTTGTAGGAACAAGGCGAAGTCAGTTAAGAAGGCATGCCCTCGCGACGGGTCTGGGATCATCTCGTCGGTTAAGCAAATAAACAGAGGTGGGAAGGGGCTATGCCAGCTTACATGATTTGCATTTTGGTTTGGTAGTATTACAATAGAAGTAAGCTTCGCTTTACCAGTAAGGCTTTGGGGAAGTAGCTTGGGTTGACACATTCCGCAGGTATGTCTGATGGTCATTATAGTTGAGGAGTCTGTAGATACATACTATGATATCTCCTCCTCACATAATCTAGGTTTCAGATGGTATGTCTGAATCCTGTGAATATCTCAACTCATTTTCTCTATATTAAATTGGCTAGATATAATCGTCTATCGATTTCTTTATGTATAATGTGGCAATGCGGAAAAACTGCCACCTTAAATTTTGAGATCTTTTAGGATGGATATTGTATTTGAGCACCTATACGATTGGAAATAAAGCGAAAGATCCTGTTGTCTACATTTTTCTGAAAAGGGATAAAGTATGACAAAGATGGTTTTTGTGTGTGAAATAGACCTTTTCGATGGGGGAAAACTATGATGCTCTGTACTTAGATGCATAAACAGTACATGCCTCTGCGACAACCTATAAACTGGTTTCAAACACTCTGGACAAACCTTCCGATGGAATGACATAGAAATTGTCAATTTCTCCTGCTTGGAGACAGGCAAGCCAAACGTATGATCAATTTGACTGAAAATAGTTCCTCTGCTGCAGACGGCAATCTTAGTAAAGAGAAAAGTTATGTTTACGTGATATCATTTTATTCCCACAACAATAAGGTAGATCACCGTTTAAACGCCTTCATTCCAGACCTTAGGGGTTCTCTGGTTGAGGGTATTAGCTGAAAAACAATCATACGACAACCCGGAATGTGCTTGAGAGGGCGTGTGTGTGTGTGTGTACGTGTGCGTGTGCGTTAAATTAGCAAGTATGTGGCAATGAGCCTCCGTTAACTCTAACGACGAATGCAGAAAAATTAATCTGCCGCTGCCTAGGCAGTAAATGGCTTTCAACGAGAAATATTTCCAACGAAACCCAGTTTGTTAGGAACATCAGGAGTAACATAGGGAAGGGTATGAGTGGCCATGCAGCACTACTCGATGCAGGTCTTAAGGTTCCCTTTCACTCCTTAACCTTTCCAGATGATTTTTTAATTGGCTTCAAGAGCACCTATGTCGGAGATTTCATAAGCGAGGGCTCCTGATCTGAAACTCCTTAATTTTATGCCATAAATAAAAATTAAAATAGCTTGATGTTTTACTACAGCACCTCACTCCTTTGCAAACAAAAAGAGTCGAAAAGTGCGCATATTGAACTTCTGAAGTGATCACGATTTCAATTATTCATCCATGACATCGGCACTTCAGCTCTGCGCACAATGGCATGGGTACCCATTGGGATGTCTCACTCTCTTAATAATGTTTTAATCGGTATTGCTTTTTCTACTAGTTTTGTTCTTGCTACAGTGGGATCTGATTGGCTATTTGTTTATTTTCTGTTTGAATGTTTTTAGCTGTCCTTATTCAGCTGGAAAAAATATCCAAGCTTTATGACTTACCAAAATGCTCCCCTCCTTTCCGTTCGGGGGGGGGGGTGTATGCTGGGCTTTTGTGAAAGGAGTCCCTATGTTGAGAACTTGCGCATCGAACTTTGTTCAACCATTAGAGTACTAAAGTTTTCTGATAAGTTTCATAAAAACTTAAGACATGCTCTGAGTGGGTTCGATAAAATCTGATAGAGGTATATCTAATTGTGATTCTTGTGGTTTTCTTCTACGCCTAGGGTGAAGTAAGTTCAAAAAAGGGCAGCATATTTTCCTCTATTATATTCATTAAACAAATAATAATAATCTGTTGAGCTACGTTTGAAGATGGGTAAGGCGCCTCCGAAGTGGTTACCAGGGGAGCGGGTGAAGGAGACGATTTTGCTCCAACGTAAGTCCGTAGAACAGCTTAGGGTTGACCGTGTGCTACGTCGGGATAAACTCAAGGAACAGCGCGAGCGGCGAAAGGCGAAGCTCGATGCCAAACGCAAGAAAAAGCTCACCACCAAGAAGTTCATTTCCGCCCAGACCATTTTGAAACACGCGCAGCGCAAGGAGCGTCAAGGGAAGCACTTCCGAAAGATCGGTGAAAAAGTGGAAGGTCGCCGGGGGCGCTCCGACAAGAAGCGTTTCGAGGCCTATCTGAACGACAGCCGGGTGGTGCTGATCGTGCGGGCAAAAGGAAGCCAAATCCCGCCGGAGGTGGCGGCCGCCTTTCGCTCGTTAGGGCTGCATAAGTTATACGCCGCACGACTGATGTACGCGGGAAATCCTCGCACCCACAAGCTGATCAAACAGCTGCAACCCTTTTGCATCCTCGGCCACCCCGATCGCGAGCAGCTCGACGCGTTGCTACGCACCCGAGGCTGCATTTACAACCCGGAAACGAAGACGAGGCGGTTTATGAGCAGCAATCTTCTCATCGAGCGCGCCCTCGGGGTGTACGGCGTGTTGTGTGTGGAGGATCTCGTGGAGACGATCGCGAACCGCACGGAGTTCATCTCGGAGGTGCTCAAACGCATCGCGCCCTTCGACTTCCACCCACCCCGCCAGCTCTTCCTTGAGCGGCATCGCTCCGTGCATCAGAAGCTCGAGGTACTTAATAAAGACTCCTTCGCGGCGTACTTGGCGGATGAGCTGCGGAGTACGGCGAGGCGGGAGCGAAAGCACTCCGCTAGCGCTCTCACCGCGGCGGAAAGCAACCCAGCGGAGGGCAGCGGGGCCCCCACGAAACGCGCGCGAAGGGAGCGCTAAAACGTGGCATTGGGTAGGTGTGTTCCTGCTATAAAGGAGCTGTATCTTGGCGTTTGACAACATTCTACTATAGACCGACCGGCTTGCGGGATCCTTCTCGAGTTTTTATTTCACACAGTTAAATGAGGGGTGTGTGTTCAATGTGGGGAGGCGGGGGGAGAAATCGTGCAATTGAAGCAACGGTGTCGTTTTTCCTCTTTTCGAGGTCTTCAGAGGATTCCGTGAAGATGCAGTGTATTAACAAGAAAAAAATAATCGGATAAAGGCAATACAGGGGTGGTAAGTTAGTTATATTTTTCACTCCTCCGAAATCGATGGGTGATTCGGTGTATATTTTCCATTCTGGTGAGTGTGTGGTAGGAGGAGTGGAGACGAAGGGGTCCTGAGGACAGATATAACACCTCTTTTTGCTCTCTTTTATTTGAAATTTAATCGACAGGGATTCGTATAATAAGTATCGATAATACACATGTGCGCCACATTCGCCGCGGCCCTCTAAGATCATATAGCACTTTTTTTCTCATCTATCTGGATTTCCCCTTTTGGTCTTCTACCTCTTTCTTTGGTCCTAGTTTGGTTCATAGATATTACCTTTTGCATCCCAAAGAGGCTTGTTTACCCCCCTCCCCCCCAAGAAAAAGAATAATCCTAATCATCATCCGAAAAAGGAAAAAAAAAACAGACACCCTTGAGAAAATCGTGCTAACCCACCTCCTCGGAACCCTTGTTCACCCCCACCCACCCTATCAAGCGTCGCGGTTGGTTTCCCTTTGCCCATCCCCCCCTCCTCCCCTCCTTCCTGGTTCCTTTCCTTTCCAGCCAGACCCCCTCGACCCCCTTTTGCGAGGTTGGATCCGACTCCACCCCCCCCTCCCCTCCGATGGCCACGAATCCCGCGCAGCCGCGGTTTGGTTGCTACATCGGCAACATCGACCGCTCCGTCACGCTGGAGATGCTGAAGCAGGTCTTCTGCCAGTGCGGGACCATCATCGACTGCTCCTTAAACGGCCGAGAGGAGGACCCCTACCGGTACGGCTTCATCGACTTCGCCACCGAGGACGACCGCGCGCGGGCGATGAAGTACAACGGCTACACCCTCGTCGGCCGCAAGCTCAAGGTCGGCGTCAGCAAAGGCAACGTGAATAAACCGGAGGGGTACAACAACCCCGCGGGCGGCCTCGCGGGGAATCGCGGC